CGGCCGCTCTCCCCCCGCCCCCCCGCCCCGGGCCAGGGCCCTTGTTTCCCAAGCCCCCCCCCCCACGCGCCCATTACCTGCCTTCTTCGGCCGCAGGGAGGGGGATAATCACATCAGATACAGCCCTGCCTCCTACCAGCCCGGGTCATCAATGACACGGGCGCAGCGGGAGCAGGAGCTGGCCCGTCAGACTGGCCTGGGCCCCGGGGGCGGCAGGATCGGGCCCCCCTCAAATCAAGCCGGGCTCTCTGCTGACCCCATGCAGTGACACGGTGTCAAACGAGGCGACACCCTCCGCAGCCTCCCCGAGAAACCCCTGCCAGCCCCCCGGCTCCTTGGAGCGGGGCAGCTTTCTGTTCACACGACAGCAGCCTCCCCGGGTCATGGCAAAGAAGCAAAACAGGCTGCTGCGCCCGGATCATCCCAGCCCCCTACCCCAGCCAGGCTTTTCTTTCTGCCCTCTTGTGAACTAGTTTCTCTGTCTACACTTCAGAAGTCCCTGGGAGGTGTGGAGAGATCCTCCATCACGGCCTGGGACATTGTTAGCTGTTAAGTTTATGTTTGTGGCGCCTGAGCTCAAACAGTCATTCAGTGGCTTGCTCTCTTATCAAGAAAACAACAATCAGAAACAATCAGTAAACAGGATCTCTTTCCTGCACCCTTTATTAACTACTTGCAGCTCGACTGAGCCATAGAGCCACATATTATAGCTTGAAGGATTTTAAGCACCTACAACAACCCCCCTCTGCAATTTTTCCTTCTGAACGGTTTAAAATCGAAGACTTGAACTGCCAGGTATTGAAACCATACAGGTTCATCTAACTTGCGGTTGGCTTTCCTCGTTAAAACACTCAGGGTACGACTCTCCCATGACCACCGTCCTCTTTCTTTCTTTCTTTCTTTCTTCGATTTTTAAACTGTTCAGAAGGAGCTTTTGCAAGGGGGGGGGGATCAATGATAGGCACAAATCGCGAATACTTAGAAGTCGCTCTGCTTTCTTTTCACTTGTGATCCACATTGAAACGTACACACCGTTTAAAAAGTGCCAAGTACTTACTTTTGAGAGATTTGACTTGTCTCAAAATTGAAATTCAGACCCCACATCGTCTACATCTCGTCCAAAAGTCGGGTTGGGGGAGGATGAGAGTTAGTTAAACCTAGTAAAGAAAAATACTGAAATCAGAATGTTTTTTATCTGACCAAAATTCTTGATCACCTTAAACAATTATCCAAGACCATCACATCAAGATGCCTATAAGTAAAGAGCAATACTTCGAAGGCCCGCAGTTATAACACGTGCTGCTCTTTATATGAGCATATATGCTGCTCTTTTATGATACAAAAGACAGGACAGCAAGAGGAGAGGCAGAGCAGCTGGGCTGGGTAATTACCGCCCTTAAAATAGAGGAAAAAGTAGCGAATTGAATAGCAGGGATGGGTGCACGGAGGCAAGGATGAGGTCTCCCTCTGTCTCTTGCATAAATCCCGCTGCCCCCGCTCAGGAGCCCGGCGATCACAGCGCAGTCACTAAAACTGAACTAACATCAGGCGGCAGGAGCAGTTTGCCCTGCAATCCACCGCTTCTCAGCGCCTGGGGTGGAAACGTGGCTCCAAGGCAAGGAGAGTTAAACCAGAAAAGTGAAGGACTCTACAGCGACCAAGAGACTTGCTTTTAATTATGGCCAGGTACATTAGACAACAAGCGCCTCTTAGCAGAACTAATCAATCCTTTCCAACGCCCGCGCGTCTGGGTGGCATGGGGGGGCTGGGAGGGAGCGGGAGATGTATGCAATACATCCCCAGGGAACCAGCCTCGGGAAGAGCCGGAGAGTTTTCAATGGGGATATAATTTTGCTGAGGAAAAATACATGACAGTGCCCGGAAGGAAGAATTCAGAGCAAGGATGGGATGGTTCAATAATGGCAATCGAGAGGGAATCGCATTAGGAGCGAGAACTAGGCACTCCCGGAATGATGTAATGATATACCTGTGCCATGGCATAGCATACACACGCGGATGAGGGACGGGTTCTCATCTCCAGGCAGGACTGTAAATCTGAAAGTCAAACACAAAGCTCAAGACCTCGGAAAACGTGCTGAACTCTCCCTGGAAGTGAAGGGCTACCTTGCCAACAAAAATACGAGTCCAAGTGATCCTCACTGCAGCCCCCTGGGCTCCAAATGAAGCATGTCCAAACTGCAGGGAAAAGACAGGCTGCTCATCGTGGCTGCGGTACAAGTGTGCGTGTGTGTACTTTGGCAGAGGTAGAGGCAGCCCTTTGCATCCCTGTAGCAGTTAGGAGGCTTGCAAAGGTTCAGCTCACTCTAGCACTCCTATTCACTAAAAAACATCCCCGACCTGACAGATTTCTTTTGCACACACACACTTAAGGCTTCCAAAAAAAAATCGAGCAGTTGCTAGTAGTTACAGTATTTGACTTGGCCAGGAAAATATCAGGACACCTTTTTTAGCCTCATAAGGGTCAGGTCGCCCCAGACCCACAGCAGCTCTGCCGTGCGCGGGGCAAGTGCACCGGACTGTCCTCAGCACAGACCAGAGCCCAGCGGACACCCCCCAAAACGCATCCTCCAAGCCTGAGCAGGAGTGAGAAGTGAAAAAGCAAAACAAAGCCTTTCTGCTGGCCGCGATCACAGACGATAGCAGCCGTGCTCTCTCCGTCTCCCTCATTTTTTTCCATTGTCTACAAAGTTTTTGAGTCAGTGCATGAAAAACTCCCAGCAACATTATGACTAACCATGAATCCACTCTGCCCAATTGCCTTGAGCCAGAAGGGCTGAACAGGATGATTTGTCACCAATTAAGCACATCAGTCAACACGCAAGCCTTGTGCTGCTTGAATTTTCAGTGTGCGGAGACGGTGTTTCCTATGGGCACGTGAAGAGCCTGCAGCCAGATTTTGTCGAAAACAAGAGACAAAAAGTTAAGGGCTCGCTCGATTTTGCCCCTGGTTACAGTTTAACTTCAGCAAAGATGCTCTTCAGTGTCTGAAGCCTCCAAAGCCAAACAATCTCCTTCCAACAACAACTAGGAACAACTGCAGGGACTTACACGCTGGACCAGTGCCCTCCTCCCCCTCAACCTAGTCTACCAAACCTGGCTTCCTGTATTAAAACATAAGTGTTACACAGTTTAATGTAGATTTCATATTTATTTAAATATTTATCAAGTATTCAAAAATGTATTACACTTGAGCATACAAAATGAATCCAGTTTTCTAATCAGGATAGTCGAAATCTTTCTATTAGACATTTTTTAACCTTATTTTTTTTTCCTAATGTCGAAATGGTTTGTCTATAGCTTAGCTTGCTCGGGGTGGGTTGGGATGGGGGTGGGGGAAAGAAAGGAAGGTTATGTTAAGAAAACATGAGGCTTTGGAGTAACTATCATGCAAACCAACTTGTCTTTGTCAGACTAGAAATCTGTATATTCCAGTTGTTAAGGATTTTTTAAAGCGAGCCTTTGTCCTGTGCTGGCTGAGAGCACACGGGAATACTTGAATTGGAGCAAAAACAACTCTTTCCTATTTTTTTCCCTCTGCTTTTCCCCAAGAAATCGCCCACGTTTCTAGCTTTCACCACCATCTCCCAACCCCCTCCCTGAGAATTAAAAAAAAAAGGGAAGAAAAGAGGGAGGGGGAAAGGAAGTGGAAAGAAAATAAGAAACGCCAATCGTGCGATTTCAGAGAGACATCCCCTCAGCCCTGTTCTTCCTGCAGCATTTTTCAATCGGTTTGACAGCAGACACAGATAAATAATGATCATACTTGACTTGCTAAGCGAAATGCTTCCCTTTTATCTGTATGCTTTAAATACAGGTCACTTCAGCAATCTTAACAACCAGGCTTTGGTATACAGCACTTGTTTTCTTTTTTTATTATTATTTTTCTTTTTTTAATAATAAAACTCAGAAAAACTGAGGGTTTTTTTACGTGTCTTAACATGATGTCAGTTCATGCCTAGAGTAATATCACTTTAGGGGAGGAGGGGGAACGGGAAAGCTCGTCGTGTTATCAATTGAAAGCTAAGGCATCAATCTAGCCCTGATATAATGGTTGAAACGGAATTTACAAGCCGATCCTTAATACTTGCAATAAAATATCTCACACACTGTATTGGAGAAAGACCTGATTTGCATGCAATATTTTATTTCAGGTATTTAGCTGCTAACTTGTAAATATATAAAAGAGGGGATTTTCCTTCCTTTTGTCTTATTTTCTCTATTCCAAACGCTTATTTAGTGAAATAGTCCTGAAGATATAATCATTCTACATATGGCGCTTTTATTTCACAGAATATTTAAGAAGGAAAAAAAAAAGACAAAACCACATAGAATTAGACATATAATTCAAAGACCACGGTACAACCTTTTTCTTCTGTTTTTTTTCTTCAGCAAACAAAAAAAGTAAGTCAAATGACAAGAAAAGTGGCAAGTCTTCGGATAATAAATAATAAATTACTTTATAATTTTGCAATGCAAGAGCAAACATTTTTTTTTCCTTTTTTCCTCTTTATTTCCAGAGAGAAAGGGGAAGGGCGGGGGGGACAGAAAGAGAGAGAGAGAGAGAGAGAGAGAAACAGTCATTTTTAACCGATAACTATACACATCTTTGGGGGGGGAAGTTCTTGGACGGACACGATTCAAACACAATCCCGAAACGCATTGTGGCAAAATAGAGGTATACCTTGTTGCAATGCTTTTATAAATTGTTTTTTAAATAGGAATTCAAAAACCTATTTTAAAGTCGCTTCAGACTTCTTGACAGAGGATGGATCTCAACGAAACAAAAGTAAAACCCCAGCTACAGTACATGCTATCAGAGACCCAGGAAACAACCCCTCGTTAAAAGTCAACTAAAAGGGGGGGGGGGGGGGAAAAAAAAAAAAAAAAAACCCCACCCACACTGCACCCCTCACAAGCACCGAAAAAAACCCCCCCTGTAAAAAGACAACAAAAGGGGGGGGGGGGGGGGAAAAAAAAAAAAAAAAACCCCACCCACACTGCACCCCTCACAAGCACCGAAAAAAACCCCCCCTGTAAAAAGACAACAAAAGGGGGGGGGGGGGGAGTAAAGAAAAGAAAAGAAACCATTGCAAACCAATGCAGCTCCACCTTCCTGCAATGAATCTTTCAGCCATGCGGGGCTAGATTGTCTTTTTCCTGGTGTTGGGTGATCTACTGGAGCTCCTTTTTGGCAAGGCAATGACCAGAATAGAAACAGCACCATTCGGATTAGGATGGATTTAGATAGAAAGTCTCTCTATCTTGGTTTCTCTCTAAGATGTGCAGTCTTTTTTATTTATTTTTTTTTTTTTTGAGATCCGGGAATACAAATCCTCTACGTTTTGAAAAACGTCTGTTCGATCCTCCTACGATCATTGAATAGCGCGTTTACTTTTTCTTTGTGTTTGTTTAAAATGATTATTCTAGTAAGATCCCTTGATTGTCTTCACAGTGTTGCTACCATATCACCTTGTCATTTCAAACAAGACTCCGTGCTTTCTCATGGAGCGGTCTTTGCTAGGTTCATTACAGGGTTGTTAAATACTTTTGGGTTTGTTTTAGTTTCGGAGTCCCAACATGATAACTTTTTCCCACTCTCTCCAAAGGGGATGGGGAGAAAAAAACAACGACCAAAAAAAAAAAGAAACGGAATGAATGTTCCTCATGCCTCAATAGGACTGGCTACCATGCTGTTAGGTGTATCTGGGAGCTGAGAGGACATTGATGCTACTTCACTTCCGGTGGAATTGGAACCTGGTCCTCCTTCTGAAAAATTAACCTGCCAAAATAAAAACGGAACTATCAATTAAAAGGTAGCAAGGGGAAAGAACAAGAAGAAAGTCAAATCATAGAAGCATGCACCTCACACATTTAATCTAGATCCCCATCAGATAATTAGAGGTCTGCTCCCCCCCCCCGCCATCGACTTGGATCTAGGAAACCAAGTAGCTGATTAAAACCAAACTGCAGGGGAGGGGGTGGTTAATGAGGCCTCTCTTTCCAGAGATCGCAGGCTCTAATTGTAATGGAATTCCCAGCAGCCTGGTGTGTTCAATTATGTAAGAGCTGCTGTGTTTTCTGACATGAAACTGCAAAGATACTTCCCCCTCCTCTCCTTTGTGCATATAACTAAATGAAACTGGGACAAGGATCTATGAGAATAAGGTGCTTGTTTTGCAACAAGCTATCTTCCTCTACTAGTGGGCTGAGGTGGGGAGTTGGGTCTACCTTACATGAGAATCAATTGGACAAAATGGATTACACTTCCCTTTCCTCTTTCGGGACAGATTTTTTTTAGATGGTGATGTGTATGACTGGGAAGCTCAGCCTTTCACATTCTCCTTTGCATCTTTTTAGTTGGAGGAGTCTTGGACTAGGACCCTGTTCATACAAGGCCATGGACATATCCAGGTCCAGGTTTACAAGTCTCTCCTGTTCTAACGTTTTTTTTTAAATTTATTGTTGGCCAAACTGCCATAAAAGGATTCTGGATTTACATCCCAGTATCAAGAGCTTCAGTTCTACATAGCCAGACCTTGTCTGCAATCAAAGGGTTTAAACGTCGTCTCCTCCTATAACACATAACTAGTCAAAGCAGGTCTACCTCCAAGCTTGGTGGAAGCAGAGAGAGCAGAAGCTGCTCTAGAACTGAACTAAACTGCATGGCAGCACCCAGGGGGCTATACTGCTAAAATGCAGGATATTCCCAATGGACTTAGGGTTCATTCCCGCTGGAAGGTTATACTGCAGCATTAAAACAGGAGAAATGCATAATCTGAAGGAGCATAATACTCCAGCGGAAAGTCTGGAAATACCTTCTTGTTACCAACCTTATTGGTCCAAAAGATTTATTTTGAAAATCAATCTAAAGTGTCTGTCTATGGCAAAGTTTCATTATTAATTAGTATTTGAATCACTGAAAAACCATACACAACGTACCTTATTATTTTAAAGATCTGGTTTAAACACACTTAGGCCAGGAAATTGAGTTAAGGTTGAACTTCTGTCCTTAATTCACCTTGTTGGGCCTAAGTATTGCAGATGATATGGTCCCATATGAGCTGCCAAATGACGTAGGCATAAGGAAGTGAGTTAAGAACAGAATTTATTCTTAAATGTCTGTCTTTTGTTGGTTTAAGCCAGTTCCATTAACATTGTTTGGCTTTTGCATGTGAAATATGTACTAACAATTCCCTTCATTAAATATAAAAGATCATTTCAGAGGGGTAATTAGGAGTATCTCTCTAGCGGCACATGCACAACAAGAAATGAGACAGTTGAGCTAAATTACATTTTTTTTTCCACGAACCCTCTCAGCAGCCTAGAACACAGGATGACAGTATTAACCCGCAGTTGCAGTCAATCTTTGGCCAAACTGGGGGGGGGGGGGGGGGGG